CCTCTGCCAAAGTTTGAGAGCAAAATCTTACTCTCTGCTCTGTGGCTTTATTACATCCGTGATTGTGATCGTCCACAGAGCTTCCTCTGATGAAACGGAGTGACTTGACCTAGGTTTGACACCATGCACAGGAATATGAAATGCCAAATAAGGACTCGGGAGGTTGACAAATGGCTACACAAAGGAGAAGTATAAACTAGTATAAAATAGCTCTCAGAAAACATCTGCTCAATATGCAGCACCATTCAGAAAGAGAAATAGTGTCGTTATGATATTTTCTCTATCAATCGATGGCATGCCCACCACCTTGACTACTGCATGGAGATCTGGTAACCCCCATCTCAAAAAACATATATTAGGATTGGAAGAGGTACAGAGATGGCCAATAAAAATGATTCGGAGTATGAACAGCTTCTCTAAAAGGAGAAATTTAAAAGACTGGGACTGTTCAGCGTGGAAAAGGAGATGACTGAATAGGGGAGATGAGAAGAGGTCTATAAAATCATGACTGCCGTGGAGAAAATGAATAGGGAAGTGTTGTTTACCCCTTCACAGAAAACAAGAACCAGGATCACCCAATGAAAATAACAGGCAGTAAGTTTAAAACAAACATAAGGAAATACTTCTTCCCACCACACTCAGGCAACTTGTGGAACTTGTTGCCAAGGGACATTGTGAAGGCCAAAAGTATAACTGGGTTGAAAAAAAAAGAATTTGATAAGTTCTATCCTAGAGGGTAGGTCCATCAATGGCTATTAGCCAAGATGGTCAGGAACACAACACCATGCTCTGGGTGTCCCTAAACCTCTGACTGCTAGGAGCTGGGACTGGACGACAGGGGATGGATCACTCAGTAATTCCCCCATTCTATTCATTCCCTCTGTAGTCTCTGGCATGTTGAAGACAGAATAGTGGGCTCGGTGGACTGATGGTCTGACCCAGTATGGCCATTCTCATGACCACTTTTAGTACTGGCTTAAATTAGAATTGGCTTTTCAGCAACAGCTGTGTAGCCACTGGAACAGAACTCAAATCCCCCCTCGCCCCCCTTATATATGAAGGATCAAGGCTGGGAGCTAGAAAAAACAGGTCCAATTGCTTTAGACCTGAGGTTTCTGAAGGTTGCAGGTGGACAGAGACTTATTTTCCTCATCGTACAAGATACGAATAGAAAAGAGAAGGGGGCTCTGCTAAAGATGCTCTCTAGGAAAGAGAGGAGACATTCTGAGTCCTCCTCAGGCATGTAAACCGGCCCTTGCTCTGTGATGGCTGCACCATTCCAGAGTGCCCGTCCGTTGGCCTGCTAGGCAGACAGGCGCATGCACGGACACCACAGACAAAGGGGAGCTGTCCTATACAAAGTACACGAGACAGTGGATGGTGAGCCACAGTTCAGCAGCTTCCGGATGTGCCTCGCACAGTACTAAATAAGCCCCTTTCTCTGTCTGTTGATCAAGTACACAAGCCACCATACAAAAAATAAGTCAAATCTTTCTCTCCAGCTATGTAAAAATTGGAGATGCAAGACAGAAGCTCTCTCCTGGTATGAGCCCCAGACTCCCTGCACAACTGCTCTAATGAGCCCTGGGAACATTACCAGATGTAATGGCCAGACAGCCTAGGATGGTGTGTGTGAACATATAAAAGTTGCCAAGGAAACAAATCTGAATCAAATTCTAGAACCTTTCCGACAAGGGAGTGTCAGTTTAGGTGAGACTGGCTGGAGTGGAAGCAACATTCCTAACTCATCAAGTGAGTAGATTAATGGTCGGAGTACTCATCCTAACAGCTGAACTGCTGCTCTCAAGGAGCGGAGAGACAAAGTGCTGAGGTAATATTTCTTCCTTGATCAATTTCTGTGACTAGCAGGCCAGGCTGTGTCTCTGACTGCAGCAGCTCCTTCAGTTCTGGAAGACAGACTGATGGTAAAGAAACCCGATGTGAGGTTTTAATTAGGGACACAGTTAATGTATGGCCCAATCCAGTTTTAGTTGGGCATTTCCTGTGAGTTGCTCCATTCAGTATTTTTTTAACCCAGTCCAATTTTCCTTCCTGTCTTTTGTGTTTGCTTATAACCCTTACCGAGGGAGTCTGTAAATGATTCTTCTCTCTTTACCTTCCCTGGTGGAGGCTGTTTTAAATAAACTACCAGTAGCAAAGCACAAAACATGGGGAGAATTGTGGTGGCTTTGATCTGTGAATGTAGATCTGCTGTGATGAACTGAGTTGACCACTCTGACAACTGAAGTTCTCTGATGACAGGAAGCTTGGCCTAGTGATGTGGGTTCTGTTCCCAGCACCGCCTCACACTGGAGGTGGAACGTTGAAGTCACTTCCCCTCTCTGTCAAATAGGGATGTCATACACCTACCCCACAGCGATAACGTTAGGCTTTATTAATTAATAGCTGTAAAGTGCCCTGAGCTCATTGAACCAACGGTCTGCAGAAGCACCAAGTATTTATCCACAGGACAGTGGCAGAGCAACTGTGTAAGCTTCTTGCACACTGCTCTGCCAATGTACCTAGAGGGACAACCTCCTCGCTGAGCATATGTCTACACTACAAGTGCTACAGGAGTTTTTCTGTCACTGTAGTGAATTCTTCTAGCTGCACCTACAGGGGTTGGGGGTTAGGTTGATGTAACTATGTCGCACAAGGCACGGCATTTTTCACAGCCCTGAGTGATGTAGCTAGGCCAATCTAACTTTTAGGTGTAAACCAGGCCTGAGTCTGCCCACAGGAGAATTAGTACAATTCCAGAGAATGGGAAGTCAAGGAACAAAGTAAAGGAAGAAAAAGGTGGAGAAAAGGCAAAAAAAAAGGTCCCTAATATGCTATTTCCTCTACTCATTAAGGGAGCGTGAAACACAAATATCTGATCCTTTTGTGAGGCAAGTAACCCTTCTTTACTCAAAACACGCCCATCGTTATGACAATTTCTCTTGACTCAGACATGCAGGGTATGTCTACGCTGCAGCCGGGAGGTATCATTCGTAGGTTGGGTAGACATGGCAGCAGCTTTCACAGGTACTAAGAGAACTGGCAAATCCAGTTAGCTCTTCACATCCATTCTGATACAGTCTCTCTTCAGTAAAAATATCAGACACACATGAAAATCTCCAAGAGCATTGGCTTAAGTACAGCTGTCAGAGGCTTCAAGTCCACAGCTCTGGGACAAGAATATAAAGTTTCTAGCTCAGCCAAAGTCCCTAGGTTTCTCTGGCAAAAGGAAAACACCGGACATTAGGAAGTGTTCCAGATGTAGCAGAAAGCCAAGAAACAAAACAAGAAAATGGACAGACTGTCTATACAAATGTATCAAAAAGCAACCGTTGCGCCAATTGTTCACATGATTCTAAGGGTCATCACAAACCTGGTTTGCAGTGTGGATTTGTGGACAGAACATGATATTGAGACTCGGGAGACCTGGGTTCTATTTTTGGCTCTGCCAATGGCCTGCTGGGTGACCTTTGGCAAGTCACTTCTTTTTGTGCCTCAGTTTCCCCATCTGTAAAATGGGAGTAATGATACAGACCTCTTTTGTAAAATGCTTTGAGATTTACAGATGAAAAGTGCTACATGGACATGTCTTCACTACAGTATTTGGCCCAAAGTATAATTGGACTGTTGTTCCTAACCCAACTCCCATCCACACAAAGGTGTGGACAGTCAAGCTGGAAAGGCATATCGAGTGGGGTCCCGCAGGGATCAGTTCTGGGTCTGTTCAATATCTTCATCAGTGATTTAGATAATGGCATAGAGAGTACACTTATAAAGTTTGCATATGATACCAAACTGGGAGGGGTTGCAAATGCTTTGGAGAACAGGATTAAAATTCAAAATGATCTGGAGAAACAGAAAAATTGTCTGAAGTAAACAGGATGAAATTCAATAAGGACAAATGCAAAGTGCTCCACTGAGGAAGGAACAATCAGTTGCACACATACAAAATAGGAAACGACTACCTAAGAAGGAGTACAGCGGAAAGCGGTCTGGGGGTCATAGTGGATCACAAGTTAAAAATGAGTCAACAGTGTAACGCTGTTGCAAAAAAAAGCAAACATTCTGGGATATTTTAGCAGAAGTGTAGTAAGCAAGTCATGAGAAGTAATTCTTCCGCTCTACTCCGCACTAATTAGGCATCAACTGGAGTATTGTGTCCAGTTATGGGCGCCACATTTCAGGAAAGATGTGGACAAATTGGAGAAAGTCCAGAGAAGAGAAACAAAAACGATTAAAAGTCTAGAAAACATGACCTATGAGGGAAGATTGAAAAAATTGGGCTTGAGTGACATGGAGCGATGTGATTAGTTGCACAGAGTAACTGAAGATGAGTTTGCAAATCACTTGAATACTTCTCCCTTCTCTCAGCACAGTGATGAGTGCTGACTTTCATCTCCTGGGCTTTGTTCCGGTAAATCTGGAAGTGGTTAAGGTGATGCCACTGAGGTTAGCTATCAGACCCCGGGAGGCAGCTTTTTCCTCCGTTTTTATTTTGAATAGTTGGCCCTCTACAGGGTGTGTGCAGCCATTACTCAAGAGGAAAAACAGATAGATAACAAATGAATGCAGATCACAGCTTGACAATAGGGCGCATACAGCCCTAGATAGCTGGGAAAATTCACCTCCAACAGGCCAGATCCCATCGTCTGATACAGTTAGTAGCTACGCTCTTCTGGTCCTTTGAGGTTCCAGAGAACAGACAAGCAAGTAAAGCAGCTGGGGGATACCGATCAGGTAAGTGGTCTCTGTGAGGACACCCACAATGTATAACGTAAGTGAAACAACATGGAGCACTCAACTGAATTGTGTTTCAAACATCATAAACAGAGGAAAAGCTCACACAGCCTCTTCTATCCCCTTCAGTCCTGAGGGGAAGAGCATCTCTCCATCTTGCTTGGGGTTTATCAATTACAGTTTATATCCTTGTTGAGAACTTGCAGCACCAAAGAGACTGAATGAGTTTGGAACAGGCGGAGTCATAGGCAAAAGCACAGAAGTGACCGCTGCTAAAAGTTAATTTATTAAAGACTGTACTATCATCATTTCCTAAAACAATGGCACAATGATTAAAAACCATAACAATCGCTTGGAGTTTTGAAGATCATTATTATAATACAGCTATAGACAATAACAAAGCAGGTATGCAGTCTCTGAGATCTCTACAAGCAGGCCTGTGAAGTACAAGATTCATATCATACAGCTGTACAAATGTCAGAGAAAAATAGAAAATAAAATACAAAAGGAATCACCCAATATGTAGTCCTTGACAGTTATTGACAGTGTTACAGTACATTATGTGCCAGGACTGGCTTGTTCCACCTTCCATTTTCAGAGTGTGACAGTGCTCACTTGGCTGCAAACAGGAAGGAAAAGAAGTCTCAAGTACAAATCCTAATCTTTGTCTCCCAACCTAAGAAATATGTTAAAAGCCAATCCTGATGGAAGCCAATCCTCCCCGTAATCATCTTTGCTCAAGACTTCTCATTTTACAAGAAACAAATTGGACACTCCTTTTATCTAGTGCAAAAATATTTCCCAGGGTGACATGAATTCACAGAATGACCAACAGTCATACTTATGCAAACCATCCTCTGCACGGCCAACAGCAACCTCGTGATCAAGAGAGAAGAGTCCCTCTCCCTCCCCAACCTGTGCGACTGGACAGAGTTCTTTCTGATGAGCACATGCTGTGTCTGCCCCAGACAGGCCATTGCATCAGGGTACAGAGCAAGGAATCCTCAACTACTCCATGGAAACAAATGCCGTTGAAATCTTGTAAATATTGAACCACCAACTCAGACCCAAACCCTGTGTTTGCTACATGTCAAAAACCTAGTAATAGCACAGCGCTGAAGTTAAAAACAACATACAGCAGCCATTTAATTTGTCATCACCATAGTGCTTGTTCCCTGGGTCAGAGGTGCCCAGAGTATGGCTCGTGGAATCTAGCAGCCTGCAACAGCCCTCAGTTCACAGCGATATGGCTGCACCAACTAGTGACAGCGTGCTCAGCTGTGGTCTACTCTTGGTTAGCTGTCTTTGCAACTCTCAATTGGGCAAAGGCTTGGGGCACCTGGGCTTTTGACTTGCTTGTCCTGACTCCGCTCATGACAGCACCATCTTGGTCATACTTCATTCTAGCTGCATAGTCTAAAAAACATGCAGCATTTTTTAAGTTGATGCTGATGTGCCCGCGTGCCATGTTGGCATGTACTGGCATTATCGCCACAAGAACATCCTTTGGCAGCTCTACAGTAAGGGGAACAACTGCGCTTTTCCAACAGCCAAAAGTATTGTTCTCCTCCCAACATGTCTGAGTGGTTTGCTTCATGTTTGATTCTGAAGACATTTCATGTCTGCCAATTCCAGAGGATCAAATCACAGTGCTCCATCTCCACACCACCCAGTGTGCCCAGCCCAGAGAGAAAACCATTTTGTACAAAGCACAATTTGTATCTTAAATAAAAGTGTGTGTCTCATTCTCTAGGATGCCTTACCCAGACACTAAACAATAAATAATTCACATCCGATTGGTGGATTTGTTTCCGGTACGGCACGTGTGCTATTGGAGCTAACACCGACTAACTGAAAAACCTTTTGTAATTAGTAAAAGAAAATGGTTGAACACTTGCACATATTGGCACAAGGAAAACGAGAGAAGGAATGTTCAGAGCTCAGCTCAGGTGCCTTCTTCCGTGGAGCGGGACTCCGATTTCAACTTTACAAACTCTCTGGCCACTTCGTCATTGGTTCGTTGAGAAAGAATCCTCAGGACCGTGAGCCCCGTCTCGTCCATGTGAATCCTACGCCCTAGTGGGCACCAGCAAGCACAGCTTCCTTTGTCCGCAATATCTCTGAGCTGCATCACAGCTATCCCCAGGACTCGATCTTCCCGAGCAAAGCAGTAATCCTTCACACAGACTTGGAGCTCATAGGCATCTGGGCCGTCTTCATTCCCCAATATGCTGAAAATGACAGGCACAAGTTACTCAGATTAAAGCAGAAAGCATACTGTCTCCTTAGATCCCCTTGCAGCAGGGGAATCCTGTTAAAAATGTTATCCAGTCACATTTATTTAGTCAGAGTCATGGTAATTACATGGGGAACAACTCCCAGAGCTGTCACAACAGGAATGTACCATCACCCTGTGCACATTTTAGGGCTCTGAGCCTGCCATAGAAACTTCACTTCCAAAGAAAATCTTCATCAAAGCAGAATATCGTAAAGGTGCTTTGCAAAGAACACAAAAGGGGCCATCCTTTGTTTCTTTATGAGGGATTAAGACAACCTGACTTCCAGTTTTCACCTTTTTGCTTGTTTTTCATATCAGAAATTCAGGTCCTGTTTAGCCTGGAATAGTCTATGATAACTGGAGAACTAGTAAAATGATGATGTCACAAGAGTCAAGAGAGCGAAATTTGAGCTATGAAGAAAAGGGATTTTTAGTCAGACCCTTTTAAACCATTGTTTTTGTTGAGACCCTTGCCACTTGACATTTTGGAGAAAGGAGGCCCCCTATTCAGTGAAGGTGAGAGCTAAGAATAGATATCCCAAAGACTCCCCCTCAACAAGCACCCCAGCAAAACCAGGGATTTAACTTTCCTCATATTTTTAAGGTTAAAAAAAAAAAAGAGCAGAACCCTCTTCCCCACATTTTAGAAAAACCCTTTTCCAGCCTTCCTTACAATCAAAGCAGCAAAAAAGTGACAAGCTCCATTTTTTCCAAAATCCTTTAGAAGTGATATTTAACCTCTCATTCTGACTACGGAGTTGAATGAGGACTAGTCTACTTCCCTGTTTGTAAGGCCTTCAGAGAGCAGGGCCCTTTGTATTAATGAAAGGCCAGTTGAAAAGTTCAATATTCAGTGTTTAGAACTGTGCATTTCTAGCCATAGGAGAAGATGGTATCCTTGGAAACAGGTTTGGAGGACTGCTTGTCCCATGTGGCTAGTAAAGATCGAAACTAATGGGCAGACTTTTGCTATCACATGAGGAAGTTTCAGCCTCGACTACCAACAAAAGCGATGACTCATTAAAAGAATGGATCATACTAAAGCAGGCTGATGTGCAGCAATACACACAAATAGGTATTTCTGAAGGTAATTGACAGATGCTCTTTACATGAGCCATAAATTGTACACATCTGTCCCTGAAATCAGCGGTCCAGCAGCAGCCACTCAGCACTTTCATGGTGAGTTGGTTCCTCATGCCAGAATACTGGACCTGACCGAGACACACCTGCTGCTTCCAGTTACCCTATTGACACGGACAGGTCATTCTATTGCACTCAGCAGCAACGCGTTATCTGAGCTCTGCATGTGCTTCCCGTGGCAGACCCTCGGCCTGTCTTTCGTACTCACAAGTGAAAGGTTTCGTTGTATTTGGGTGCCCAGTTGTTGCTCTTTGATTTGGTTGTGAACTTTCTTTTCTTGTCACTTTGATGAGGTCCAATCATAGTGACTTCAACGAACGGGCGGAACATGCCGGATGTTTGCCATTTCAGGTCATTGGCTGCCACAACTAGACAAGAGAGAGAAAATCAGAGCCCCCCTCTGCAGAAAGGTTCATCTGTTCAAACGGCTCTAGCCAGCTTTTTAATGCTGAGCTATCCACAACAATCACACAAAACAACTCTTCCGGTGAAAGGCTTCCCAGCTGTTCAGTTCAGAGGCTCTGATCTGAAAGAGATCAGTCCTGAACTCACACGGGGCTGGGATATATTATTTTACTGAACAAATTACATGCTTTTTTATTCATGATTTAAAGTTCTGTGGAGGGAATTTTGTACTCGGGAAAGCGAGAGGTTGGCAATATTTGCAATCGGCAGCGGTAAGTCAGGCAGGCAAGTACACTGTTTTAGGAACACAGCTCTGACAATGCACCTTAATGCTGATCAGCAGCACCCCTTTGCCATTCCAGTCCTGGGCAAGACTCCCACTGACGTGTCTATCTCCTTGAATTTAGCTGGAGAGAGCAGACACACTTGGGTCTCTTGATTTTTATAAACACGACGATTCCCTTCTTACTGTCACTTCTCTACTTGGTGTAACGCGGAGTCCTATGTGGGATGAGTTTGAATCGTCGCTCGGGGAAAAGAAAGTGCTCTGACACTATGGCTAGTGGTGAGACACCTGAGCTGCAGCTTCTGGCAAGGTTTTCTCTGTGACGGGTCCTCAGCCTTAAAACTCTTCCTCCACACCCAGCCACCAGAGGCCAAATGTGTTGGCTCTCTAGACGCACCGTAAAACTCACCTTTTCCCCCAGGCCTTTGTGCGGAGAGATGGTGGATATGTATGTATAGGCAACCCCTCCTGTTACAGTGTGGGTTTTACTCTGTGGGACGGGGGCCTTAGAGACACTTTTATACATTTGAAGAAATAAAGAAAACAAATTAAAGGCAGCAAACATAGGCTAGCGAGAAAGTAACCGAGGAGAGGGAGGAGGAAGAGGTAGCCTCAGCCGAATCACTGTCATGCCCATTTGGCCATCAGGACTGAGCCCAAAATCCCTGAGCGTGTGCAGACTCTGCTCTCTGGCTGGCTCAGTGAATGGAATAGTTCCTTAATGAATGTTGTCATTTTGTGCCTTGCTGGGCCGAGCACACCACTTCGCTGGGATATTTGCAGGCCTGATGAGAGCCATGTATTTGACTTGAGTGTGTTCCACAAAATTACTTTCAAAAAAGAAAGAACTATGCATCACCATGTGACTGGGTGAGCTGGGACACCACTGCCATCATGCTGCTGTTTCTCTAGATACTCCAGATGGGAGCCCAGTTCTGGTCTTCATTTAGTATAATCGTTAACTCTACCCACAGACTGGACAAAACCAGATACACTGATATATGCCAGCCTACAGCATGGACACCGCTGTACAGTACCAGTTCATTCCTGCTGGACCAGCCGTGCTTCCTGCTTTACTATACCTTTCACTGTGACCTTGTGTTCACCAGTTCCTGGGTGCGTATACAGGTCGATCTGTATGGACACGTCACCCACTGGATCATCCACTCCAGAACCTGATGCAAAGATTGACAAACACCGAAAGAAAGATTAGTTTATTGGCACCCAGCTTCAGCTTATGCGCTCGGCCAGGCAATACCCCATTGGCAGTAAGTTAGCCCATAACCAGCTTCCTTGCAGACCCTTCTAGTTTGATAATGCAAAGGTCGATCCAACACCACATTTCTAGGCCAAACACACACCACACACATTACAACTTTTTGGAACAGATTATAAAAGTAATTATACTGCAAAGATTTCACACTAGGAAGGATTACAGCATGGTTTTTGAAGTGCCTTGAAAACCTACAATGGATCCCAACAGAAAGCATCTGCTAATGAGTTCCTACCAAGATATTGCACACATGTGGGCATTCCTGTGACCCGGGGCAAGCACCATTTCCCTCCATGCAAATGGAACTAGTGAAAATGGGGGGGGGGGGGAGGGAGGGGAGAAGGGGAAGGTTCGGAAACAAGGGATAAGGATATAGGATTGATACTAAATTTGCTCTAAGCCAAAGTACACGTCCAGTCTTCCAAACAGCGTTCTGTACCTGCACACTGGATAAAAGCTACAATTCCCAGTGCCTCCATCCCCAAGGAAGAGGAGAGTCCCTTCAGACCACATAAGACTATGAGGAAAGTTAAGAGTTTACAAGCTGCTTAGAAACTTCCCTTTATCAGTTAGCCAGTGAGTAGTTTCAAAAAAGAGTTTCATAAAGGGAAAGGTAGCATGTTTTAATAGAACAGGCCGGGGAGGAGTCAGAGGTCAAATGAGCTTTACAGTTTGGTTAAATTCTCTAATGCAGTGTCTCTCAACCTGGAGGTCGCAAGAGGGATTGGGGGGGTTGCAAGCAGGGCTACTTGCCAGGCACCCCACAAAGCTAATTATATGTTTCAGCCCTGAAGAGGGCTGAAGCCCCAAGCCCCCAAGCTTAAGGTAGGTGGTTACAATTTTTTAAGTCCAAAGGGGGTCCCCAACACAAAAGCGTTGAGAAACACTGCTCTGATGTATGATTGAATTCAAATGCTTGAAGGGTATTTTGTAGGCAGCAATCACTCTGTCATTTTAAAAGAGGAGGATGTAAACAAATGTATGCCATTTCCTGAAGTGTGTATGATGTGGTACAGACAGTAATTGCATGCAGATCAAGGCAACTTGACATATGTTCATGTATCTTGAACTGTAACGGATTCTTTTTGGGAGTGCACCTGAAGTCTCTAATTTATTTATCATGCCCTGGAAGCTCTAAACAGTCATTTAAGATATGAACAGGCTGAGTGGATTTTCTTGGCTGTATCTTCTTCCGATCACCAGACTGTGCACTAGTAGAAACTGATTAAGTACAGAGAGGAAGGAACAGTATGTAAACACCCAATCAAGGTTGGGGGGTCTAATTTTAGACCCTACCTTGGTTTGTTGGTATGTGCACATCACATTGCTCCTTCACTCTCTTCCAGCATTGTTCTGATGAGTAGACAGGTTACTGACATTTTTATTGATATATATATAGAAAAACCACAAAGAAACCTGCCCTCCAGGCACTTGAGGGACCTTGTATATTTCATTGCCCTTCCTGTCCACAAAAACCAAGAGGATGTTCTGAGTACAGGAACTGAGTGACATGCATGACTCTGCTTTGGAAGAAACCCAATGGACGGAGTTGTGCTGCAGGCAAGCTATCCAGCAATGAAGCTGTCATTTTTCAATGTTATGGCCCTTGTTTTGGGGAGCACGCACCATGTTTTACCAAAATTACATTGGGCCTGATCTTCATTTCATTTACCCCAATGTAACCCAACAGACTCTGAAGGAGCCACTTCCTGATTTGCACTGGTGAGAGCAGAATCTGGCCTATTAAGTTTTAAAGCTGATTCGGTTTGGGGCTTGTCTATCTTAACTCTGTTTCTTTTTATAGGAAGATCCTGCTTTCTTATCTGAAGTGCTCTTATACGCAGAGGCCCTGGGAATATCCAGTAGATGGCAAATAGGCCAGAAACATTCTACACCATTTACTAATTTCTTGGTGGTGGTGACGGAATTAAAACTTGGGCATGGAAATCTTGCTAGATTTGTGATATGTGAGGGTGAGAGCCATACACTGAAATTACATGTGCAACACGTTACAGATACGTTTTCACCTAAAAAACAAACTTTGGGCAACATACAAAAATTGGAGAGCTGAAACCCAGCAGGATTCAAGCGAGTGGCAGGACTTCTAGCTTCCCTCTCGAAGTCAAACTCTTCAGCTGATCCCTACCCTCGCGTATGCATTACACATTACCATGTACCACGAAGAATCTGCCTCAGCAGCACGTGAGCCTCAGGGCCGGCTCCAGGCACCAGCTTAATAAGCAGGTGCTTGGGGCGGCCAAGGGAGAGGGGCGGCACCTGTGGCAATTCGGGGGCGGCAGGTCCCTCACTCCCTCTAGGAGCGAAGGACCTGCCGCTGAACTGCCGCTGCCGATCGCGGCTTTTTTTCCCCCCCAATTGCCGCCGCCGATCGTGATCGCAGCTTTTTTTTTGTTGTTTTTTGTTTGTTTTGGGCGGCAGAAATGCTGGAGCCAGCCCTGGCGAGCATGCACATCTAGGAGTGGTCACACAGCCATAGGTAGTGCAGAGCAGAGGATAAGGGCAGCCTGTAGCACCTGGCAAAGAGACTGTTTATTAACCCTGTATTGTCAGAACAGAATGTACATTCCCGTGAATTAGTCTCAAGCTCCAACACAGCCTGCACGGCAGGCCCCACCTCCTTGCGTCACACAGCCCACGGCTCTGCTCTCTGTAGGGTGGAAGCAGTCCACAAGGGATAGGGTCTATGGGGAGCTACAGGGAGGTGGGTCTCTGGAATGGGTTTCCAAAAGCAAGGGAAGTTTGCAGCTGGCTAATGTTGTTATGGTAACAGCATTAGTCTTGAACATACCCTTATCAGGAAGAACGTCCTCATTAGCGGTAAACCTAATACCTTTCCCATCATGCACTGAGTCATGAATTCAAAAGGCGAGGAGCAGGCAGGACAAAGAGAGAAGAGTGTGAATTACAATCCAATTAGCAGTGACACTTAGACAAATACAACTTGAGGAAGTCAAATATTCTAGCTCTTAATAGACTAAATATACCCAGTCTGCTGCAGCAGCTCAGGGTTGTAAAGCGATGCTGTTTCTACAGGCCAGGGAATCTGTTTGGGTTAGCATGGTGAGGTCATGATTCGTGCTGCTGGCAGAAGTACGCTGAGAGCTCTGATCCTCAAACATCCTAGCTTGGAAGTCGAATAGCTTTGTGCTACCGAAGCCTTTGCAGTCAGAGGGGGCTGGAGTGCCTCAGAGGCTGCCATGCACAACAGTTCAGAGGTGCAGCAGGGGTGGCAGACACCTCACTCACAGTTACATGAACACAGCATTGACTTTTTTCAGCCATTTCCTCCTACAAGGCTATGGGAGGCCTTAAGAACGTGAGAGGAAACCCCAGGTGGAGAGAACTCTGTAAAGCAGGAATCAGCCCTAAACACTGGTGCTGTTCCCTCTGCCTCCTAGACACACGCCCAAGTTCTCCAAATCATTCTATAGTCTGGGGCTATTTAGACGTGTTTGCAAGGTCCAACCCCAGCACAGGGCCCGGAACTGAACTGTGGCCAAAAAGGACTCGGTTCACAGCTTCTTCAATGCTGCTACAAAAAAAAAAATCGGTGAGCAGAAGGCCTGGCTCAAACCCTCCCCCGAAGTCCTCAAGGGCTCCCAGCCTGGAGAATTCTCTAGGGTACAGTATACAGCAACATGGGGACTGCCAGATTGAATTCGCCCAGTGCTCCACCTAGTCCAGTGTCCCATCTCCAACAGTGCTTCAGAGAAGTGACCTCTCAGCAGCCAGTTCTGGGATAACCTCACAGAGAAAGTTCTCTCCTAACCCCCAGTAGTGCGCTTCGCTTGTGCTTTGAAGCTGGCGGTTTATATCCCTCTCAAGCCTCTTTAAAAACAATAGTTCCTGTAACCGCTCTGGATATTTCTGTTATCCACACAAACGTCTAATCTTTTTTTGATTCCTGTTACACGTGTGGCCTCAATATCTTGTGGCAATGAATTCCACAGGCTAACGCTGCACTGTGTGAAATAGTATTTTCTTGCATCAGTTTTGAATTTGGCACTTCCCCGTTTAGTTGAATGTCCCTTTGCTCTTGTATTAACAACACATCAGTGCAGCCAGAACATTGCGGGTCAGCATAACTGAGTGTGGTATGACAATGCACAATGTTCTCCCACAGCCTGGAATGTCCAGACAATGTGCAGGGGATAAGGCTTAGTGAAGTTGTCTGCTTTCACGTGGCACGGATGAGGGCATCAGCAGTGACAAGCTATGCTAAAGTAGATAAAATGCAAAATCAGAGGGATTTAGGAGCCTGGTTCATTTTTAGGGTAGCCAACCCTCCAAGATTTTCCTGGAGTCTCCAGGAATTAAACATGCTATGTAAGGAAACCTCCAGGAATATGTCCAACCAAAACTGACAACCGTGTTCTACATCTTGTTGGACTGGGAAGTGCTTTGCCCTGACTGAGCCACAAAACTGACTCTTACCATATGTATGGGTACCTAATAAAAAGATGGGTTCCTTTTCATTTCCCTCACTCCAACATCTGGAGGATTTTGTTCGCTGGAGTTCATTGCGAAAGGCGTCTTGACGTAGATAACAGCTGTGCTTACTCTGTCTGGCCACCAGATGTCTCCGTTGCTTTGCAGAGATACAGCTTCAGGAGCGTTTTCCTTGATGATGATAGCAGCTTGATTCTTTAGGTAACTTTGAAACAGGGACATGCATTGTGTTTCTAGATCAGTGGTTCTCAACCAGGGGTACGCAGAGGTCTTCCCGGGGATACATCAAATCATCTCGATGTGTGCCTAGTTTTACAACAGCTATGTAAAAAACACTAGTGAAGTCAGTACAAACTAAAATTTCATACGAAGATTTGTTTATACTGCTCTATAGACTATACACTGAAATGTAAGTACAATATTTATATTCCAATTAATTGATTTTATAATTATATGGTAAAATGAGAAAGTCAGCCATTTGTCACTAATAGGGTGCTGTGACACTTTTGTATTTGTATGTCTGGTTTTGTAAGCAAGTCGTTTTTAAGTGAGGTGAAACTTGGGGGTACGCAAGACAAATCAGACTCCTGAAAGGGTACAGTTGTTTGGAAAGGTTGAGAGCCACTGTTCTAGATCTCAAAAGAAAAGGTGTTTGTTGTAAGTGTGTGTTTCAGTCCCACAGAAAGCTGCCTGAGGGACACTTTGACTTTAAAAGGATTCTTGCTTCTGCCTCTTTGTCATCAAATTCTCCAAGCAGAGAGAGGTGGATACTCTAAAATTCAGATTTTGACTAGCCCCTTCCATACAGCAGCGAACAAGATGTTTTAGAAGAGCTTCTTCCACTTCTCCATTCCAATCCCATGCTTGATAGCAGAGTCATGCTGGCAGAGTCAGACAGCACGAGAGCACAGATGTTATGATCTGTGGGACCCCAGGCTGCTGGAGGACTGGTGGAGGTGGGGAGAAACTGGACTATAAGTGGTGAGACTGCATGGGACCCCCCAGAGTTGCTTGCATTGTTTGTTCTTTGGGACAGCTTGCAGCGAGGGAACTGTATGGAGATCCCAGACAAGTCTGACTTTCACGGCTTTAGCCATCACTTTCTTTTAACAGCAACATTGGAATGGGAGGTCCCACCCCACAGACTGCATTTAAATCAGGGTATAACCTGAAATCTTAGGCTATAACCTTAAGATATTACCTTAGCCTAGTGTTAGTTTCATTGGTTTTCCATGTCCTTCTCCAGAGATGAGCAAGAACCACAAAACCACACAGAAAGAACAGGAGTACTTGTGGCACCATATAGCTATATGCATCTGAAGAAGTGGGCTGTAGCCCACGAAAGCTTATGCTCTATAAATGTGTTCGTCTCTAAGGTGCCACAAGTACTCCTGTTCTTTTTGCGGATACAGACTAACATGGCTGCTACTCTAAAACCACACAGGTGGCCAATGAACGTCCTCTGGCTATGGACTGATACTATTCTGTGCAGAAACGAGGAGACCACTGCTTCTGAACAGCTGAGAGATCCACAGCGACAAATCATTAGCCACATTAGTACTGGGTGACAACGTGGCAGTGTTACCCTGGCTTCCACAGAACTCCCAGTGGGCCATCAGAGCAGCGTAGTAAATAACTTGTGCTACTGCTGTGTCTTTCCCTCCAGCAATAAAGATACGTAATAATCTAGGGAGCATATATCCTATACTGGCTGGGCACAAAGCAAGACCTTCAGCTTCATTATTCTTGTAATGAAGTGTCCTCCTCCTTGTGACTCTCAGCACTGCTATCAACCACGATTAGTCAGAACTGCCTGGGCTGCTGGTGAGTGGCCTATGGTCTATGTGTGGTCCACTTCTGCCTTGATACCTGCTTGGAATCACCTTCCACAAAACAGTACAACTCCCAGTACAATAACGCCAAATTTCACTTCCCCCAATCACTTACCAACCTTAGCGCCAGGAGCTTGGCTGTGAAATTAGCATCAGGCAAGAAAACCTCCAGGAGTTAAATTTGCACATATTTCTGTTCCCTCAAGATGTAAACATTGAGCAGGAAAACCCCAGCAAATAGCAGCTCTGAAACTGTCATGTTTCCAGGAGCGTGACTGCCAAAGACGCTGCAAACCAGTAGTGCAAGCCATGGCAATTAACACCACACTGGAGAGCTTTAGTCAACCCTCCTGATGACAGAAAAGAGCCTTACCCTGAGCTGTCTGTGTCTGGACAAAGGTTTTGATGAGAGTGTCTGTGGTCTGAGTGTAGAGGGACAGCGCATAGCGGAGCGACTGCAGGGCTGGGCTCTTCTCCAAGAAGGTTTTCTTTAGACCGTTCCCACCAGCATGGAAATATTGCTAAGAGCAAAGAGTAAAAGCAACAACATAAAAGGAAAACTGCCACCAGCAACAGACAAGCTGCTGGCAGCCCCTCCGAGAGCAGAGGGAGCTGAAACCTTCGTGAAGCATTTTTTGCAGCAGTGGCTGATTGTTCACCCCGACAGCTCCCCCACCCCTGTGTCAGATCCTGACTCTACAATCACACAGGCCCCTTAATACGCTGGCTCCACAGTACTATTGACCTGAGTGCCATGTAGGTGTTTAACTGGGCACCTCTTCAGAAGTGGGTTTATGCCACACACTTGGTAGCCCTGAGTCATTCTGGTGCCTTATTGCTGATCATTCCCTAAGATACGTGCCACGCACGATCCATTCCAGAACAGCGTCCGGGGAGTCACTCACTTTGATCGTATCCAGAGCCAGGTCCAGAACCGCACACTGCTTTGGAGTGAGACTTCTAGTTTCTTCCTTCACCATGTGATCCTGAAAGGAACCATCAGATCAAACGTTACTATACTGCTAGTGGCAAAGGCCGGGGAGTCCCCAGTAAGGCTAGGTGAACTGGATTCACACAGGGCGGGGGCACTGAGTGATAGGGACTCTTTCAGAATCATTCTTTGATGAAACCGATAAAAAAAAGGTTTCCTCCAATTCTGTTGTGTGCACAAGAGGGAAGGAGGTAAACTCACAATGGTGACAGTTTGCATTTTAATCCAAGCTTGTACTCTGCAGCCCTGTGTCCTGAAAAGCCCTAAATGACAAATTTGCTTGTCACTCATGAATTATGCAGCTCGCCCCAAAACTACTACTAACAGAACCTTCAGCCCACATTGACGTATTGTGTGTGTGTCACAACTTGGACAGAAAAACTGCTTGAGAGATTTTTTGGAAAAAAATGTATTGGTCCTACTGTATTTTTCATACCCCTCCACGCAAACAGGCGGATTGCCTTGGTGCCGAGTGAAACAGTACAGATCATCAAAGGAAGAAGAGTAATACAGTCTAGAAACTTCTAAAAATTACCTAAAATATGGAAATCTTGGGACCTACCACAACTAAAAATCAGTGCTGTGTATCCCCCTGGAAATCTTCCTTTTCCAATTGTCCATCTGTTAGAATATACTGTTAATAGAATATATTTCTGGTCAAGTGTCATGAGACAATCAACCTGCAGACCTGTCACCGGGCCAGGCACTCTCTCTTTGCAGGCTAGGCCTCAGGCCATCGTAAGTCTGGAGAGTAAATTCTACATTCTGGGAGGTGAAGGAGACTTTCTCCAGCAGGTGGTTTGGCCATTTGAGCTGCGGAGAGGTTTGGAATTTTAGTAGCAGCAGCATTCGTGGTCAATATGTAGGAGAAGCAGTCAGTGCAATTTATTACACACAATATCGCCACTACACATTTTGTGAATGTATCGGGTCTATCAAAACCCAGACATTTTCCCACTGGGGACTCTGACTGCTGCATGACACCTTTCAGGGAGACTTGCCTGCCTGGCTACTGTGTCCCTTTCATAGCAAACAGAGCCATGAGGTAGCCTACCTGTTCCTGTCTTGTATTTCTAACATTTGCCACGGGAGCCCAGTCAATCTTCATAATGACCAAAGATAGGTACATGTATTGTTCTCTTACTGCCAGGTGCTTGTTCCAGAGGCTGACCTGGCTGATGTTCCATTTGATATCTGGTTGAGCCTGTCTCCTCCTTTAGTTCAGTATAGATTGTGGCCCCTTGACCGTTGCAAAGTAATATGTTCAGCCCTCACGCTGAACATGTGCGCGCAGCTGGCCTAGATTCATATGGCCCACATTTTCAAACAAAGTTCGGCTCCTACGTCCATACAGAACATAAGAACGGCCAGACCGGGTCACACCAATGATCCATCCAGCCCAGTATCCTATCCTGGCCAATGCCAGAGGAAATGAACAGAACAGGGAATCATCAAGTGACCCATCCCGTCGCCCATTCCCAGCTTCTGGCAAACTGAGGCTAGAGACACCGTCCCTGCCCAGCCTGGCTAATAGCCATTGATGGACCTAGGTAGCCTGTATTTCAAGAGTGCTGGTGCCCAGTGGCTCCCATTGAAGTCCATGGTAGTTATTGGGTGCTCCATGCTTTGGGGAAGAGAAAAAAAAATCAGCCCACTTTGTCAGGTCTTTTAGTATAAATGGAAGGAGCCAAAACTTTAGACCCCTGATTTGAAAATCTTTGCCTGCATGCCTAGCTCCGGGATGGGGCAGGTGCTTCTGGTTTAGGATTCACACAGTTACTGGTTTGCCCTTTAACAGGTTCTAATGCTGCATCCCAGAGCAGCACCGATGTGCGGAGCTACCCAGTGAGACCACAGCAGTCTCTTCTCCAGGCAATGGCCAGAGTTGAACAGCATTTCTTCCACTAAGGAGCCAGGAGTTTTCCTTCAGTTTCTCTTATGAGCTGCAAGTAGGTCAGTTGAAGCTGATGCTGCTTCACATTCCTGTACACAGAGGGCAAAGCATTCTCTTCACTCAGTCTCAGAATAAGCATCTCATTCATCTAGAGCACCCGGCTACCCTATCCTGGGACTGGGCTTGTTTAATCAAGGTAGCGGTATTTCCAGAACATAGAGCAGCTCTCTCGTCTGCTGCTAAGTCCTGTTGAAACGGCTCCTACGTCCATCTGCCAGTTGGGAGATTCCCTACCTTTGGAGCCCATTCTAGGAGATCAGCCTTTCTTTCTCCTAAACCTTTGAAATGCTTCTTCTTCTCTGATGTTTGAGCTGCTACTGAAACGGACCTTGGTCCACGTGACCATTTGGGGAGTAACATGTGTCTGCTTCCACATGGAGGTCTTCAGAGTAAGCAATATCTAACTATGTTACATGGATTTATCAGCCTAAGAGCTTCAGCGTCGCAACATCTGCAGTCAAAGAGTTGCCTGTGATCTTCATCTCCTGCATACGCAGCTTATTTTCATCAGCCATCATCGCTTCCAAAACAGAGTGCAAGAGGTGTGGCCTTGCAAGCCAGGAGCACTTTGCAAACACAATAAAAACACTTCATTAAAAGATTTCAAGTGAGAACACAACTTCACTGACTGCCAGCATGGCTGGGATCAGCACACGAGCCAGCTGCATTCTTCCTTGCTTCAGACAGCAGCATCAGCAACACAGATCTGGACAGAACTGAGCTGGCCATTCTGGGACAACGGGAGACAGAGCAGCCCGCAAGCTCCCTGCTCCATGGACGCTGTATATGGGCGCAAGCACAGACAGCAGGAAAAACTGGTTTCTATTCAGCAAACCGAGCAGATGACGTTTAGAAGATACCTGGGAATCAAATATGCATATTACCAATGTGCCATTTTCATGGTCACTTTTCGGACCGTGACATTACTTTAAAACACATGACTCGATTCATCAACAGGACAAGAGACCACTGTTGTCCAGTTTGCCAGCTTCAGTTTTTCAGCTGAGTTACTAGACATGCCTGCGCTTTCTTTAGCCTTTCCTTTTTGTATTAAAAATGCAAGGAGTGATTCGGATCTCCTAAGCATCCTGCCAAATGGCAGAGAAGCCGAGGGGGCTCAGCACGGCCTTTCATTCGTGCTCTCTTTTAGTCTTAAACATAGTGATTACAGCTACTCAGGCCTGCAGAACTGACACCCCTTTGGAACCTTTGCTCTTCTGACAAAGCTCATTTGGATTCAGTGCTCTATCTATTAGAAAAAACAGTTACCTACCTCTCGTAACTGTTACTCTTCGAGATGTGTTGCTCATGCCCATTCCAATAGGTGTGCGCGTGCCATGTGCACGATCGTCGGAAGGTTTTTCCCCTAGTGGTACCCGTCAGGTCGGCAGTGGAGACCCCTGGAGTGGCACCTTTATGGAAGCGTATATAGGTCCCTGCCGACCTGCCGTCTGCTCAGTTCCTTCTTGCAGGAATACTCCAACAGAGGGGAGGGATTTAGAATGGACATAAGCAACACATCTCAAAGAACAACACTTACGAGAGGTAGGTAATCGTTTTTTCTTCTTCGAGTGATTGCTCATGTGCATTCCAATAGGTGACTCCCAAGCAGTTTCCCTTGGGGGGAGGGGTCGGAGTTCACCTGGTTGTTGAGTGCAGGACTGCCCTGCCAAAGGCTGCATCGCCCCTCACCTGCTGGGTAATGGCGTAGTGTGACATGAAAGTGTGGATGGAAGACCAAGTTGTTGCCTTGTATATGTCCTGGATAGGGACCTGCACCAGGAATGCTGTGGACGACACCTGCGTCGTGGAGTGCTACCTTGTGGAATGCGCCGTAAGCGGAGGGGCTGGAAGTTTTGCCAGGTCGTACCAACACACACGCGCCCTGAAAGCGGGCCTGAAATGCTTGGCATGCCAGACGAACCGTCCTCAGCTCCCTTATGTTGATATGCAGTGATAGTTCTGCATGGGACCATAGGCCGTGGGTTCTGATATTGCCCAGGTGCGCTCCCCAACCGAGCACCGAGGTGTCCGTGACCAGGTTGGGGTTTGGTAAAGGGTACTCCCACACAGACCACTTGTGGCTGCAGCCACTAGTGGAGAGATTCGAGGATGCGAGGGGGGAGGGTAACTATCGTGTCCAGCGGGTCCCTGGCCGGCCTGTGCACCCATGCCTGGAGGGGCCGAAGGCGTAACCTGGTGTGCTGGACCACATATGTGCAGGCTGCCATATGCCCCAATAGCTTCATGCAATTTCTGGCCGTGGTTGTGGGAAACCGGCAAAGGTTTTCGACAATGTCCGTGAGCGCTTGGAAGCACAGCTCAGGCAGGAATGCCCTGGCCTGCATGGAGTCCAAGAGAGCCCCTCTGAACTCTATTCTCTGCGTCGGGGCCAGTGTGCATTTGGGCACATTCAATATGAGGCCCAGTCTGTGGCTCAGGCCAGGGACACACGCTCTGCAGCCTGTGCTTGTGATTCGGCCTTGATGAGCCAGTCGTCCAGGTATGGGAACACTTGCACCTGGCGTTTGCGGAGGAAGGCTGTCACGACCGCCATACACTTGGTGAATATCCGGGGGGGCTGCTGAGAGCCCGAACGGGAGCACCCTGAACTGGTAGTGCTGGCCACTGACCACGAACCTGAGGAATCGTCTGTGGGCCGGGATAATGGATATATGGACGTACGCATCTTTGAAGTTGAGGGCAGTGTACCAGTCCCCCGGATCCAGGGAAGGAATAATGGCGGCCAGAGAGATCAAGTGAAACTTCACTTTTCTTATGAATGTGTTGAGGTCTCGCAGATCCAGGATAGGCCAGAGCCCACCCTTGGCCTCGGGGATGAGGAAATAACGGGAATAGGACTCCTTGCCCCTGAATTCCTGAGGAACTGTTGCCCCTAGAGCGCGAAGTGAATGCACCTCTTGCAAGAGGAGTTGTTTGTGAGAAGAGTCCCTGAAGAGGGACGGGGAAGGTGGGTGGGAGGGAACAGAATTGGATAGAATATCCCACTTCTACCGTGCTGAGGACTCAGCGATCTGACA